AACGATTCAGCTTAATTTATTCTTGGAATACATGTATAAATTCTTTTCAAAAATGCATTGAACAAAAAGATATAGGCACATGAAATACGAAAAGGTCCCTAGGGACCTTCTCACAAATCGAAGGGTTAAGAACTATCTGTAAATAAATAATACGTGTTTCGAGTGAATCGGAGTCCTTTCTTCCACCAATTTTATTAAATTGTCCCTTCAAAAAATTGGTTTAAGTAATGAAGTAGTCTGAGCAGTCTCACTTTTACAAAATGGCCCTGAGTAAACTGTCCTACAGCTTTTGCCTTCAGACACTTCTGATACAATTTTACAATAAAATTTTTCGTACAAAGTTCTAAACTCTGAATGTCAAACGGAACAAATGTTGGATCTCTTTTTTGAAAGTTGTTTAACGTTATTTAAAAATTTGTTTTAGAGAACTAAATCGTTCTACAAAAATGTTCAGTAGGCGCAAAAAGGTAGTGTTCTACGTTTTGGAAACATATTCACAGTTGAGAAAGAGAAACATGATTTTCCTGGTAATGCATTTGAAGTTTTGATTGATTGCTAACTTACAGAAAAAAGCTGAAATCTTATAATATCGAAATGTGTCATTATTAGGGAAGACAAAAATATGCACAAAAAACTTAATTATATAATCATTAAAATGACTCAAAAATATTAAAAATGTGCTTGATATATGCCCCAAAAATATACACATATAACGAAAATTTTTTCGATTATCGCATAAAAAGTTTATGTGCATAGATATATGTACATATGTATTAAAAATTAGCGCTCTACGTCGCAAGACTTTGTTGGACAGAATTTAAAAGTTGACAATTCTCCGGGTGAAAATATGGCAACATTTTAATGAAGCGTTGCATCACTCAAAATATTTTTGTTGCTGATTATGCGCAGTTACAATAGACGCAGAATAAAACTCCCTGCTCAGTTCGCAACACACCTGGAAACTGTTAAACAGTTTTCGCTAAAAACGAAAAATTTCTATTGAATTTTTCAACCACCAAAACCGGTTTAGAGCTATTGGCAAACAACAGTCGAAATGTTTTTACGAGTATATTAAAATTGTTTAATAGAATATAACGGAACTTTTAGTTGTTTGTCAGCTTTTTTCTTTTGTGAATTAAACAAACCTCGTCCGCAACCCTGGCTATCTCCGCAAAGGCATAAGCTCTGATCCCGTACTCCATGAACTTACAGGTTTTTACACGAACTTGCAGGAAGTTAGAGGAAAAATGTTCACGTACTCCAAAATCCTGTACATGAGAGCGATTTTTGGAGAGTTGGGTAGAGAATGAAGTTTACAAGATTTTACCCGAACTATTTCCTCTGGTAAAATCATGAAAAGTGTCAAGCGATCGGCTGTTTGACGTTTTTACAGGAAAAATTATTTTTTGTTCCCGTACTATTTGGTTGTTACTCACTTTGTACTCTCACTTCAGAGAGAAATTTTGCTGTTTGACATTTTTACAGGATTTTACACGAAAAGTATCAAAGCTATAGATAACTCGATATGAAACTTTTTTCACGTGAGAGCGCTGTCAAAGTCTGTATTTTTTATAACAATTTCTCATAGAGCCACTGTGACGAAAACATGTGTGGGCATTTATTGAGAAGTTTATGGAGAGACTTTTGATTGAACAAAACGAACAAAAATTGTAATATTTTTCATATCAGTTTTTTTATTTTATGGTTCAAAATGCCGGTGAAATCGTGTTTAGTTACAAATACTGTTTTATAGCAATATTAAAAAATGCAGGCGCAATAAATCTACTGAATTCCAGCGGTAGCTCGCCATTTCGCGTATCAGCTTTTTACCTGCTCAGGGATTGGCAGTGTTGCCAACTACGAAACGAGTTTCTGGGCGCGCTCTCAGATAAAAATACATTATTATCACGTCTTTTGTAATATGCATTTTTACGTGACGAGTTGATTGTTTATGACTGTCACTATTCGAGTGCAGTACACACCCACATTTCACTAGTAGGACAAACCACGCCCACTTCCCGTATATGGCAGCCCGTCCAGCCGCTCTGTGTCCATGCTAATAGATGGTTATTGGAAATGGTCGAGCATAAATCGAACTTCCAATACATAACTGTAAACTTGTCCGCGTGGTGTATTAAGTAGGCTTCCGCCCCAATTTAATTTCCTTACTTGTTACTACTTTAGGATGATGCAAATCTTTGAGAGCAATTATTTGTGATATGCTCATGTTTTTAACCGACTTCCAAAAAAGGAGGAGGTTATCAGTTCGTCGGAATATTTTTTGTTTTTTTTTTTTGTATGTATGTTACCGCATAACTTTGGACCACGTCAACCGATTTTTGCATCGGAAATGTAGTGTCTCAGAGGTGGTCCCATACTAATCTGGTTAAGATCCGAGCAGTGGATCATGAGATATATATATATATATTTTTTATATGAGAGTTGAAGTCGGTTTTTTTTGCTAAAAATTACTTGTTTTATATATTTTTTAAACGATTGGTGCTAAAGGTTTTGGCAAACTTAGTTATGGAGCTATACTCAGTTGAATAACGCGTAAATGTAATTCCAGCCATCTGAGTCAACAATCAGCCGTTCGATGAAGAAAATCTAAGAAAATGTGTAGGTGCAAAACATGACAACACCCGTGCGTCATTCGGCCAAAAGTATTGCTGCTGTGGAACAAAGTGTGGACCATGCCGCGACAATCTCATCGTCGTTGTGCACAGCAATTTAACCTTTTCTACAGCACCGTTCAACGGACTTTTTAACAAGGGACCTATGTTTGCATGCCTAGAGAATTCTATTGTCAGGCTCCGTGATAAGTGTGGTCTACGCTAATAACCACGAAACCATTCCAGAGCTGGAAATACGCGCATTGTTTCACAGATAAATGTCGTAGACTAAAAAAAAAACAAAAAAAGTAATTTCGACAAATTTTGTTGTGTTTTATTTGTAAAAGAAATACTGCGGTCTTATTGAATTACGCTGAATATGATCTTTCAGCATTTTGTGGAGCGATCGACACACTAAGCTTTGGCACCCAAAGAACCACAGATTATCGTTTAAGTCAACTGTGAATTCTCCCAGTGCCAAGGATCTGCATGTGATTTTTTTGTATACAATTACAAACCATTAAAAAAAATGCCAAATTTTCTTATATAAATTTCGAAATTGTAGTTAAAATCGCATTTTTTTTTGCAAATAAATATAGAATTTCTTTAAAACGAAAACTAGGAATACTCGATTATATTTTACATATAAATTTTGACAGCTTTGTTAAATTCGTGAACTCAGCCTCTTAAAAATGCGTCTTAAAAAATAATTTTTCAAAACACTTTTTATTTTTTGTAGTTATTTTTAATTTTGAAAATCAACTTTAAATCTTCGGTTAAAACTTTTAACGAAACTAAGGCCAATTTCGAGGAAAACCAGCTTTTTTAATCTTGTCAATTCAGCTTCTTAAAAATGCATCATAAAAAAAATTTTTTATTTAATTTAATTTTAATATTTTTAAATTTGAAAATCAAGTTTAAATCTTTCATAAAAACTTTCAACGACACTAAAGTCAATTTCGAGGAAAAGCTGATATGTGTCAAAGGTTTATTTAAAAATATTTTTACGAGTCAATTGAAAAAACCTGTAAAACTCACCCCAAATTTAATTTGCATAAAATCTTCCCAGTAGATACGAGTATTTGAAATGTACTGGAAAGCCAAATCGCTTAACACATAATTTTCTCTTCACAAAATAATTTAAAATTATATTTTTTTGGACACTCCTCCACAAAAAATATACACAAGCACTAAAACAAAAACTTAAAATCACATAAAAGAACTCTTCAGCAAAAAAGTAAGAATTACAAAAAATAAAATCGTTGATCCTGTTTAATGCGTTGGTGGCGCAGGACTACATGTTAGCCCTGCAAGTGTAAACGTTAAACTAACTGACTGAATTCGAATTGCCTGAACGTACTAGCTGGCCAGGCCAGCCCTTGCTAGGCTAGGATGGCTGACTGACAGAACAGCGTTGTTAGCGCGGCTGTGGCTGTCATTAGTCGCGAACGAGGGAGGGTCCTGCAGCGACAGGTACGCTCGCAGCCGTTATTGCTGCTGCTGCTAGTGTTTTTGTTGTTGGCTAAGGAGCGCAAGCCAATTGGACAAGTACGGAACGCGCAGGTAATGAAATGTAGCACTTATTTTTAGCATGAAACACACATGTTTGTGTGTGTGTCTGAGAAAGTAAACGGAATTGAAACGCAATTTGTGCCGCTAACCGGAAGCGAATAGACGTTAGTAAGCAGGTTAAAAGGTAGAATAGGTGAAGTAAAGGGAAATTTAAAAGCTAGTTGAAATTTGGTGTAGCATGCAGAGTGGTTGTTGTTGCTTTTGGGTTTTCTTATTGTTCGTTGGTTGTGTGGAGAATTTCCGCTGACGCAGGCTTTCGAAGCGAAATTCGCGTAACGTTTGCTTTGATGTGTGTGTCTGTATGTATGGATGCATGTACGTATGTACATATGTGTGTGAGTATCTGTATACATATTTGTACGTATGTATTCCTAAATTTACTGCCATTGGCCTGTGACTTACTTTTCGTTGGCAAAGTGCACTGCACTTGACAGGATCAGCGAAAGGTGGAAATAGTTTCAACCTTTTCGCCTCAGTTCCAAATTCGATGCGGACCAAATGAGCGCCTGCTTAACTGCTGATTGCGCTGACGTAGCTGAGTATGCGTGGGTGTGGCGTAGACACATCATTTACAGCCGCTTTCCCAAGCTGCTTCGTGCGCTTTCCGCTTGATTACTACGGTCGTTGCTTCACTAACTTTTCGGCATTACAAACAAAAAAAAAAACTTTCCGAACACGAATTCTACCACATTTTTTTTGGTAAAGCAGCGACAATTAAACTTTTTCTTCTGCCTACTACTTTTTTGTTGCTGTGTGTTGTTTGTGTGAGCGTGCCATGTATATATGTACATACATATGTATGTATGTTTGCAATTTGTGGCACGTTTTGATTTGGTTTTTGGTAACTAAGACTACGCGGCTAATAATCGTCGTATGTACATATGTATGTATGTGGCGGCTTACTGGCGCCTAACTAATTTTTCAACTTGCAAACGAAAAATGGAATATTACACCAAAAAAATAGTAGCAACAACAAGAACATCTGTGGAAAATTAAAAAAAAAAAACGAGCAATAAATTCTGGTACAAACCCGACAAACGTATGAAACGAAACGCACCGTATCCTTGACGACGAGTGACTAACTAAATTTTTATTTGCTACCACAAAAACTTGTATAAAAAGCGCAAAATTACAACAGAAAATGAGCAAAAAGCAAAAAAAAAAAAACTGAAAGAGGACGCGCACTATCCCCTACCAGTGTGAGCTAACTAACACATAGATAAAGCTTACAGCCAATGTATGTATGTACGTGTCCTTTGCGCTGTATTGGCTAAGAAGACGACAATCGTATTATTGGTAACGGCCAACAAAGCGATTGTGGTAGCGGACAGCGCAAGTGGAGGGGTAGGGCGCGCGCAAACAGCAAACGAAAGCGCATAAAAAATTAATATTTAAAAACGCGGGCTTTGAACGCATAGTTATACAAATGCAATCACACATACATACTCACACATATGCAAACATATACTGTATGTAGGGTGGTAAAAAAGTAGTCTGAATTTTAATGCTCTCCCCCTACTGTGCTATAACGAAGAAAATTATACCCCTGTTTATTTTGAAATCAAAAAATATATTTACAGGTCGCTCAAAACGCTTAAAGTTTTCTATGTATTTTATATGGTGAAAAAGTATTTTTCGTAGAAATGGTATAGAATTCGTGCAAATCATTGTTTGTCGATCAGAAGACTTTATTTCTCTTCAGGAGGCTTTCAGTAATAATATCTATTTACTTATTTAACTATTTCCTAATGTTAACTATTTTTTATAGCACCCCTAAAAACCCCAAAAAAAAAAATCAATGGGGGATCCATAAAAAATCGCTAGTATTAAAAAATGGTAAAATAAACAATTGGGTGTTATAACTGAAAGTCTCTTGAAGGTAAACAGAGTTTTCTAATCGAAAAATCTTGATTTGCAAGAATTGTATGCCATTTCCACGGAAAATGTTTTTTTTTCCAATATAAAATGCATTAAAAATTTTGAGCGCTTTGAGCGACCTCTAAATATTTTTTGATTAAAAGAAAAACAAAACAGGGGTATCGTTTTGCCGGTATACAACGATCCTAGTGGGCGAGAGCATTAAAATTCCGAATTTACGTTTTCACATGCATTTTTGGACCGCACTAATAAATGTACAAGTACCCAACAACAAATCTGGAGTGGCTTTTCGAATCACCGAGCAGCAGAATTTTTTTGAATCTCCTTAATTTTTCTTTCTTTTTTAAATTTAATTTTTAAATCTTATTATTTAAAAGAAATAATGTATATTTTCTTAATTTAAATAAATTTTCAGAAAAATATTTTGTATTATTTTATTTTTTAGTTAACATTATTTCCTTTTTATTTTAAGATTTTATTGTTTTAAAAAGAAAAATATTTTTTTTTAGTTTAATTTTTAGAAAAATTAAAGAAAAATATTTCTTAAAATTTTTATTATTTAAAAAGAAAAGAAATGTATATTATCTTAATTTAAATAAATGTTCAGAAAGTTATTGTTTTATTTTTTCTATTTTAGTTAAATTTTTTTTGAAATTTAATTTTATTTTAAATTTAAGATTTTTGTGTGTTTAAAAAGAAAAAAGTTCTTGATTTCATTTAATTTTTAGAAACTCGTTTCATTTATTTTCGCTTTTTATAAATAAAGAAAAATATTTTCAAAAATTTAATTAAATAAACTATCTTTCTTTTTTGGTTTTCAATTTAATTTGTTTTCTTTTTTACTTTAATTTAATTAAAATTTTTAGCGTTTATTGTTTAAATTTAGTGTATTTTTTCCTTTTTCTGTTAATTATTTTTTTAAATTTCATTTAATTTTAATATTTTATTGTTTAAAAATGTTTTGTTTTTTTTTTTATTTAATTATCATTTTTTCTTTTTTCAATTTTAATGTTTAGTGTTTATTGTTTTAAAAAGAAAGACATAATTTTTTGATTCAATAGAAATGTTAGAAAACGTATTGCTAAAAACAAACCTCCTCGATAGCAGATCTTTCAATCAGTCTTTCGAAAGATAGAAAAGAGCTTTGAAGATAGTTGCCACAATTCGCCCATTGTCTTAAGAATGTTGTCGAAAGAATGTTGGTTTTCGAATTGCCCTGTTAGAATAGGGCTGGGAGTTTCATCAGAATTTTTTGAATATCCAGATAACCCGGATAGCAAAATTAATTAAATCCAATGGATAACAAGAGAGACCGGTTAATATCCGTTCTTTTTTGTTATCCGCTTAGTATCCGTTCATTCGTTTGTTATCCGTATTATCCAGATTTTATCCTTATACACGAATATCCCTACGCATAACCGGATGTCCGAATATGCGGATAGTCCCAGTCTTAATTGTCATTCGCAATTGTAACCCATTACAGGGAATGCAAATTCCCAAGCCCACGTCAAAGTAATGCTTACCAGAAGCCACTTACGTTTCTGAGGTAATCGTGTTTTTTGCTGGGTAACCGCTATTTGGCTGTATCAAAAGGTTGCGCGCCAATCGCTTAAGCGCTGACTATGAAAGTATGCGGCAATGGTAAAGGGGGTGAACGGCAATGTGGCATGTGGCAATGATGTGGCATGAGTGAGTGACAACATGCAATTCAGTCACTATTGCCGCTGATGATGATGGCGATAGCGCGCCACGGCAGCGCTGGTGGCAGTGGTAGTGGCAAGTAGTTGCACTGATAGTGCTAGCAGAGGCAATTACTCCAACACTACTTCGTAATGGTGGTGGAACTGTTGGAATTGCCGTAATCGAATGCGACGCTTAAGCAGTAATACTTACTTAGATGTGTATGTGCTAGGGAAGTTTCGAATGTCATATTTTTCACATTCGCGAATGCGAATGTTAGGAATAACATTAAACAAGCTATAATCAATTTAATTCATCGTTTTTGTTACTTAAAAATTTTGTAAATTATTAGAACATTGAACGTAGTGCTTTAATCTAGTAGTCAAAGTTCAAAAAAATAATTTTGCTGCCTTTTCTTCCACTTGGAACGCTGGCGGGAGGAGCGCTCAAATATCCGCGGGCCAGATCTGTCAATTTGTCGTATTTCAGTTTAGTTTTCCAACAATCGAGAGGATTTTCACCGAGATGAGCGCGTTTTTCTTTAAGATAGGCCTTCAATTGAGCTTTAATTTCAATTTTTTTATGTCTCCAGATTCTACATCCGAACCCTACGTTTTCGCTGGAGGAATCTAAAATTATTTCTAGGTTGCTTAGAAGACTTTTAGCAGTACTTGTTGAGGGGCCATCAATGTTGCTTGACATACTACTTAACCGTTTAGCGCCTGAAGCTAAAATCCGGTTATTATCCGCACCCTGGTTAGACAATATTAGAGTGGACTCTCTGCCCATGTACACATTCGCATTCGCAAATCGCATTCGTATCATTTGATGCGAATGCGAATGTCGAATGCGTATATGTAAAACGAATGCAAATACAAATATTCGCAACATCCCTGGTATGTACTATATAAAAATGTATGAACTTATTTTCAAGGAGGGGCGCTAAATTTAGCCTTTGCCGTGTCAGGTGTACGCATCAGGCCAGGTGAAATGGTCGGGCTGATCGTTGCGAAGAGATACATACGGGTATGTAATCGGTTGAATTCGAGGGTGAGCGTGAGAGAAAATATTTAGGCGAGAATGTATGAGACAAATTTTTATCGAACTTTACTATTAGCTGGCATACATATGAAGTTATGGTGTAAGAGAAGGTTATGCTAGGAGAATAATTTCTTTTAGGGAGCTCTGCGGGAACGATATCTGCCGTTTGCGAAACTTCGCATTGGTACATTTTGGGACATGCACCTTAAGCTGACGCGAGCTGGAGTTGTATGTTTTAATTAAGTTTCTCATTATTTATAATTTA